AATATGACCGTACATTTGAAGTATCATCATGCATAAGAGTACTATGTCAAAAGAATTTACTTTCTGCATAAAATCAAATGGTGTCCCACCTTGTAACACGTAACTTGATCCAGTGGACGAGGACCGCGAGGTCCACCCATGTTGTTGTTAGAGTGCACTATCCCAACAGCATTTGGCATTCTCTGGTTGTTGTTGACATTGGTGTTGGTTAACTGGATGAGTGACTGTGATGACCTGTTTGTGGGCTGCATGTTTTGCTGCTGTAGATTAAAATTAAGATGAAACATTAGTATCAAGGTAAACATTAAACAAGAAAAGAAAAAAAAAATTCACAAACCTTTTGCTGACACTGTGCCTGTTGTGGTAATGGTGGCTGTTCTGTTGCACCCATAGGGAGTTCAAATCTTGGGCTAGGAATTACAAAATAAAAATTCATATGCTTAGAATTAATGCAAAAATGTTTATTTAAATCACACATATGAATATATATGCATAAATTGCAATCACAGATACTCACTGCATAAATTTGCATGACTTGCCCTCTGGACAGAAGCCCACAAGGTAATTTACACAGATGACTCTTCTTGTGTGTCTGTGCCTGCAATCCGGACCTAAAGGGAAGGTGAAGGGAAAACGTGTTGATTTCTTCCTATTACAATCAATTTTGAAATATCTGTAAAATAATGTAACTTAACAAAATTCAATGTAAAATAATGCGGATTCATACAACTTCTTTTAAATGCAAATATCTGAAAAACACTGCAAACGGCTTACCATGCTTACAAAAGCCCCTATCATACCATGGGCAATCTTTAATCTTAGATTCTGGGTCAATGTGCAAAAATGGACACTCTTTATTACTGCACTCCCCTGTAAAACAAAAATAAATTATTAAGACTTATTACACATAGATAGATCGATAGATAGATCGATAGATAGATAGATAAGATTTTAAAATACTAACCAAATTTAGAGTAGAAATAACATTCAGGCATCTTTGTCATATCATACTCATGTAAAAATTCACATTGGTCTCCTTTCTTGCATAAACCTCTAAGCCAGTGTTTGCACACCACAGACTTTTCTCCACTTATGTGTCTGAAAGGACACATTCCACCTGTCAAAAGAGAAAGCTGTAGAGTCTGATCGAAGCAATAAATCTGATTTACACATGAAATCCATAAACAAGTTTTTATAACACATGCCTTTCATACAGGCAGCTCTCATGAAGAACTCGCACACAGCGGCGCCAGATTCTGAAAAATAATAAGAACATTTTGTATCATTGTTAAAAGTCTTCTGTCCTAAATAATACTTATCTAGCAATCCATCTTATGTGTTGAAAATAATAAATCAGAAACACAATTGTAATTGAACATTTAAGACAAATATTAATCGACTTACTATCCATTCCTGGAAATGGCAATGGCTGAGCGCCTAATTGTTGTTCTACTGCAATTTCTAGATCAAACTTGATATGATCGACACACGAGATTAATTCCTGCATTTTGGTAGTATATCCTCTATATGTTTACCAGCAGTTGAAACGCTTCTCTTTATAACACCTAATCAGAAAACTAAAAGAAGTCTTGATGGCTAACAACTTATCCGTTTGCCGTTGGTCAGGTTTAATTCTGGACGTAAAAAGAGAGAATAGCGAAAAGGTATACAGATTTATTAACTGGGTAAACAGTCTTTAATGTAGCTCATGAGTAAATCGGTAAAGATAAAGATTGTAAATAAGCAGTTGATTTTAGAACCGTCTACTTCCACAGCGCTGCTCACGAGTGACCCCTGAACTCCAGGCCGTACAATCGATTGCAATAGCATCGATTTTCTGGGAACGCGCGAATGCGTTTTTTTTAATTGTATTTCTTAAGAGGAGTAATTTCGCCTTATTAATATTAAAACGTGTGTCAATGATCTTCTAATGATTTGTCGTTAGATGGCAACTTTGACGGCACAAAGAATATCCGAAAGGGCTGGGTCTTGATCAGTGTGTTGGTTGTTGATTAAAAGGTCTGCTGTAGTTAACAAAGGTACTGTGAGGAGCGCTGACCTGGGATTACGAAAATGTATTTAAAAAAGGAAGATAATCGAATTGAATGAGGCTCTGGGAACGCGCGAATGCGGTTTTTTAATTGTATTTCTTAAGAGGAGTCATTTCGCCTTATTAATATTAAAACGTGTGTCAATGATCTTCTAATGATTTGTCGTTAGATGGCAACTTTGACGGCACAAAGAATATCCGAAAGGGCTGGGTCTTGATCAGTGTGTTGGTTGTTGATTAAAAGGTCTGCTGTAGTTAACAAAGGTACTGTGAGGAGCGCTGACCTGGGATTACGAAAATGTATTTAAAAAAGGAAGATAATCGAATTGAATGAGGCTTACATTTCATAGGTGTAAACTACCAACCAGAAGCTGTTTTTTGTCTGTTGTTCTTAAAGAAATCCAAAACTATATAGATTATATCATGTTCAGGATACCAAGACTCAATACAACTAACTTATTAAAACGGACTAAATTAAATATTTCTGTGAAATTACAAAGCCTATTGTGATTCTACAAGTATGTTCTACTTATTAAACCTCTGGCTAGTTTATATTGTTTAGATTTTAAAAAACAGAATAAATCAAATTATTTCAAATGTATTTCTTTACTAATATTCTCGTTATTCGGTTCTGATGTGTTAGATAATTTAAAATGATTGAATACACACAGATTTGCCCAGCTTGTCCTGAACTAGTACATATATTTTTCGTTTTCATCCCATGTTTAAGATGGTGAAATTCTGAGTCTCAGTCATACATTTGTGTATTTCTGTATGCCATTTTAGTAAAGAAAATATAGAAGATAGCTGATGAATCAGGGAGATTTTCTCTTTGACCCTGACTTGTATGTTTTCCTCTTTGTTTTCAAAAAGGAAGTGGTAATTCTGAAAAGGTCAGGATATGGAGACGTACCCTCATTCCTTCCGAGATAAAGTTGATAACACCCACTTCGTTTTTCTAACATCAATTTCATTAAAAGATCATTCTTAAACCTGCTAGGGACTGATCTGAAAACTGATATTTTACATTGATATTAAGGATATTTTTGTTGCCACTCTGCAGTGGGTAGGCAGTTCACAACGCACATATAAAATAAATAATTTAAACATTCATACAAAAAAAAAAAAAAAAAAAAATTTACATGCACAAAAAATCTGATTTGTATTTGTATGGGATGAGATATTCTAACTTATTCCTTTTACCAGAGCATGCTTATACAACATACTTCATGGAAGCACACACTCAAAGCACGAGATTGGACCGTGTAACCCAGAATAATTAAGACACATCACAGTTTAATACAAATAATGGAAAAAAAACAGAAAAAAAAAAAAATCAAAGCATACACATACAATTATATAATTTCAACATCGTAATGACAACCCAATAAATGTATTAAAAATACAAATCAAAGTTCAGTAAGTTCAAAAAGTTGTTGCCCTCTTGACTCATCCAGAACATCCTCTGCATCCACAGTGAGTGCACTCAATGATACGACCCTAAGAAAACAAAAGAACAAATTAGGAACAGTGGCATATTTACATTTAGTCATTTAGCAGACGCTTTTATCCAAAGCGACTTACAACTGAGGACAATAGAAGCAATCAAAATCAGCAAAAGAGCAATGATACACAAGTGCTATAACAAGTCAGAATTAGCTTAACGCAGTACACGAAGCAAGTTTTTTTTTTTAAATCATAATAAATAAAAAGAACGCGTAGAATAGAAAAAGAATAGAGCAAGCTAGTGTTAGAGGCGTTTTTTGCTTTTGTTAATTGTATAATAAATAAAAAGGAAACAAATAGATAGAATACAAAAAGATTAGAGAAACTAGAGTTAGTCTTTTTAAATAAAACAAGCAGTTAGTAAATAAATTTGAGTGCAAGTCTAAAAGGGGCAAGTTTTTTTTTTTTTAAAGGCATACAATAAGTAATGGGACAGCTTTTTGATGGAAAAACATTAACATCTGACGGATGTATACGACTTTGAGTAAATTAAACAACTTGCACAACTTACCACTTCAAGCTTGCCCTTGGGAACTCTGCATATGCAATTTGTTCCAAAGTTTGTGTCGCGCGTCTGAATGCACCGCAGACAGCACAGATTTTCATAGCCCTGTTTTTTCCATTTGGCAATCAGATTCTTGTCTGCATAGCCCTCTCGGATGCAATATTCATAAAGCTCTGCGAATGAAACTCACAAGTTAACAACTCCCATAGAAACAAACCGTACAAAAGACTGCACCCCACCACCATACCTCGACTGATGGCCTTCCTCTTGTAGAAAAGGTCGAAAATGTAACGGCTGCGCTGGTGATGAAGTCGGAAGATTGGCCATAGAGACTCAACCTTACGCTTGCCCTCATGAGGCTCGGTTTCAGCTGTGAAATTACAGCATCAGTCAACAAGCATCGTAGCAGATTCTAAATAAAAACAGCACGTTTCCCCATTTTTATTAAACGAATTAAACGTGTGATTATTGATGTTAACTACACTAACATTCATCCTGACTGAGTATCTGATCATTCCGACATCCCAAACAATCGCCTTGTTAGCGTTATGGCTAGTTTGCAGATTGCTGAACGAACCCTCGCGCATTTTCTGGTCCAGCTCGTCAAGAGTCGGCTCTATGAGCTCCCAGCCATCTGGAGGTGGTTTCCTACTCCTTTTCACCTTGGGCATTATGTTGTTTAAACAATATTCGAGCGTCTCGGTTGTTTAGCAACAGCGAGCCGCTGGCTGCACGAAGAACTTCCCCGCGTTCTGTCGCCGAACGGAGGACGTCACTCCAAAGGTCCTTTCAGTGCGAGTCGTTACGCCGACGAGCTGTCTTCGTTCTCACACATGAAACACGAGCTATACTTGTTTCCAGCCTTGTTTTCCATTGCTACAACGTTCTGCATGAAACCCTGACTATTTCACATGGCAACAATGGTTTTATTATGGCGAAGCTGTGGTGTTATTCTCTCTTCCAGCATATTGCATCAGGCTAGGTGTCTGATCTTCTTCTTCTTCTAATAACGTTTTATGGCGGATGGCAATCAATCTCATTAATGACTCTGTATTCTAATTCATTTGTTATAAAAGTGGCCACCCCACCTCCATTACCTGTCTTTCTATTCTTTCTTACAATATTATATCCTTGCAGAACAAAATTTAATTTAGGTTTTAACCATGTTTCTTGTGTCATTTCCTGCCATCAGTGCTCCAGTCACAGTCCAGTGTTGCCCAGTTTCAGGTGTCTGATCGAGTGCCTGTGAGTGTAAATATAGGAACATGGACCAGCTGGCTATATGCTAATGGATGACTGTAACTACTTAATCGTGGGATTTTGTATTTGCTTTATTTACTGTATCGCCCCAGAGCCAAATAAAACCACGTAACTATAATTAATTGCTGCCGTACACCGTTCAGTAAGTTATCTACAGAGTTGGGTACGCGAGAGTGTGGTGAAGTGTGGCAACCTGATATCAAAACCGTACCACGCTTTTGTTGTGACTGGGAATGTGCTTTAGTCGACTGCTTTTGTTTTTATATCAAGCCAAGTTTAATCTTCATCATGCCTAAAGGAGGTAAGGGATCATTTCGTTGTGTATGTTGTGGCATCACACACTGCTGTCATAGCCTGTTCTTATGATTGGCATTATATACAGTCTGTATGCTGTACGTTTAAGCTAGCCTACGTCTTCTGTGTTATCGTCAGGATATTTTCATTGAGAGCAATGCTATTAGAAATTTGTATTTGTGTTTATTTGTCTATTTTAGGGAAAAAAGGTGGCCATAAAGGTCGCATGAGAACTTACACAAGTCCTGAAGAAATAGATGCTCAAATGAAAGCAGAAAAAGAACGAAAAAAGGTGAGCTGTATTACAAATTCACACAGAAACATGACAAATATTAAGAAACATGGGTAAGAATGTGGTTGACACTGAAAGCAAGCATTAACATTTAAGTTGACGTTTTAAAAAAAGATGAAACTTTTAAACTTTAACTTTTTTTTCAAATATATGTTATTAATCCCACTGACAGCAATTAATTCATGTAAATGTTTAATTTCTTTAAAAAATTGTAATAAAATTTTTAATCAAAATAATCATGACGGTGATTATTCATAACATTCCAGTGAAACAACACTTCTCTCTGTAAGGCGGACGTATGCAATCATTTAGTCCACTTAATTAAACCCCGTCCCTCTCTTACAATCAGCTGCACTGGTCTCCATCCAGTCAACAACTGACGAATACAACCAAGTCCTGGCACCAATTTTTATTTTATTTTTTTTCAATAATCTGTTTTACTCAAATCACATAACAGTACGGAAGAAAAGCTCTACTACATCGCAACTTTATGTAACAGTGGTCAAAAGCACAGCAGAAGGTGACTGATTCTCAAGAGCTCCACTCACTACAACCACTTTCTGATTCGGTGCCATTCCGCAAGTCAAATTGGCTAAACAAATTAATTGTTGCATGTGGTAATGTTTTGTTTTTTTTACATTGTAGAAGGAAGAAGAAGAAGGTGCAGCAGTGAACGACAACCAGAGCGAGGACAAACTGACAGCGTCAGGTTCAGGGGACAGTGACGATGAGGGGTCTGAGGTAAGTTTTCTTTTAGAATGATGACGAGTCCATGTTCCAGAGCTGTCCACCTACTTATAGATCCTCCTGATAGATCTATGAAGGATGTAGGCTGTCAAATATACACAACTGTTAGCCAATCATAAAGATCTTTACTTCTGAGTCTACAATCTGCCACACCTGTTCAAACAGAGCGTTCTGATGAGAGAGTTTAAAACAGGACAGAAAATACCCTATTACTCCTATAATGTTTTTGATATAAAAATCTTGATAACAGTATAAGTGGCCCTCAAAGAGCAGTTCAAAATAATAAAAAAAGGCAGTTCATGACCCCTTTAAGTTTTAGTTTCAGTTAACAATAACAACACTGATCTCTGTTTTGTCACAGAAAAGGAAGGGTGTTGAAGGCTTGATAGAGATTGAAAATCCCAATCGAGTCGCCCAAAAAGCAAAGAAAATCACAGACATAGAACTCGAGGGTCCCAAACAGCTTTCCAGAAGAGAAAGGTAAGAGACACTGGGGTGAGTGAAGCTAACAACATTTTCCTTGAGCTACTTAATACCCTCTCATTATTTACCAACATGTTATGTCACATTTTTTGTTATTGCTAGACATCTAGACACGTGAATCTGTTCCTTTTCATCTCTTTCAATAAGTTTCTTTTCATATTTCAGAGAAGAGATCGAAAAGCAAAAGGCCAAGGAGAGGTATATGAAAATGCATTTAGCAGGAAAGACAGATCAAGCTAAAGCTGACCTCGCTCGACTCGCCATTATTAGAAAGCAACGCGAGGAGGCTGCACGGAAAAAAGAAGAAGAACGTAAAGGTAAATTGGCAGCATTTGTTAATGTTGTAGAGCAACTTGTGAAAATGTCTTGCTGGAAATCAGAGATTCATTATTGTTTTCTTCTTTGTCATTGTAGCAAAAGAAGCAGCGCAGGCGGTGGCGACAGCGGCTAAATAACTGCATACGTTGTCTCTCAAATAATCCAAATAGTGGATTCTTAGAGGTTTCGATGCATTTGTGGACAGTATACGATGATATTGACAATGTTATTTTTGAAGACAAAGCAAAAGATAATGTGGAATCCTATAACACAGTGTTTCAGTGAAAAGGAATATTTCAGAGTATATTAACTCAGAAAGCAGGCATTTAATTATCCAAATAAAATGCCTTTGTGAGAGCCCTGATGCTTTCACTAAAGTGGCTAAATCTTAATGCTTGCTTTCACTCAGTGATATTAGGAATATAGACATATTTATTAATATATTAACATATTGCCAGATGTAGCTGAGTCAACTTTGCGATCTCAGTTTAAAGGATTATTGTAAATATAAAAACGTAATAATCTGTCCTCAGTTGTAAAGGACCTGGTGTCATTTAGAATGTAAAGAATAACATACACCAATAAAATGTCAGAACGTTTTTTTGAAAATGTATTTGTATTATATTGTGAATTGTTTTGTATATCTCACTAGTATTATTGTAAACCTGAAAAACTGTTTTGATTTTTAAGGTGTGGTTTTTATTAAAAATGTTGTAGTTGTTAAATGTATTGACAGTCGCCATTTATTTTTGGAATATTTTTGGAAAGTTTTTAAAAATATATATTTTGTATTATTATTGTTACATATATTAGTATTATCATATTGGACATTCCATACCTCCATTCCTTTGTTTTCCAAGTCCCAGAAAAGCCCATGGTGACTGTAGCATGTATCATATGAGATATGAACAAAAAGGGTAAGTAAAAAAATGCCGACAACAAAGAACAAAAAGGTGACAATGCAGAAAAGTGCTCCCTGTATCACGCCTTTCGTTGTGGGCGGGACAGGAGCTCGATTAGCCACGCCCCGCAGCGCGCTGATTGGTCTTCAAATTTCGCGGACTTTGACACGAGGAAACCTAAATGAAAGTTTTCACATAAAGCAATTTGGGGCGAACCATTAACCACATTTGTAAAGGTAAGTAGAAGAAGGTTTTCATTCTATATCATCACATCTATATAGATAATATATAGATATATTTAAAGCTTCGGTAACGTAAAGCAGAGTTTTGATTTAGCGGATCAAATCAAAACCTTGTGACTGTCTGCATGCGCTCCACATTCTCGGCTGATGAATGTTAATCTGTTACCGTTGTGCAAATAGGTGCTTAAAGAGCACGTACAAATTGCTATATGACACCTGAATGTCAAAGAATAAAATCGCTTTCATTATTATAAAGTAAGCATTTGTTCCTTAGCCACATGTCATTTGATATGTAATAGTTACAGAATGTATTTCGCGGGAAAAATGTAACCCTGAAGGCAGGAGTTCCGGTTTATGTGTCAATAGCTGCGAATCTAAATTGACCTTTAAAGTTCTCCACAAGTTCTCAAAGTTTGTTTCGTAATCTGTCAGAAGCGTGCTCTGCGCTGGCTGCTGCAGTTGCATCATTAGATTGACAGCTGAGCAGTGTTATTTTAGGGTTATTTATATACTATTACAGTTTTTAATTAATATTCTTAATTACCTTTTACTTTATAATTTTTTTCAGTTTTCGTGTGCTTTTACTTTGTGTGTTAGTCATTTTTGTTTTTAAATATATTTACCTTCATTTATTTTAGTTTTAGTACTTTTAGTACTTTTTACTGTTTTATTTCAGCGTTATTTGAATTAAAATCGATTACTGGATATCAGTCTAAGCAAATTCATACTCTGCATTTGATCCAAGAATACTCTGTTAAAGAGCTCAAGTACATTAATGCTATTATTACAAATTATGTAACCCGGTGTATACAGTATGTTTTGCATATGGGGGTCTTCTAACATTTAAATATAACATTTCTTTCCTCTAGAGATCATAAACTATGGCACAGATCAACGGCCATAACAATAAAACATGGGAATCTCATAACAAGATGATGCTGGAACCTCTGAGCACAAATGATCCTGAGGTAATTCAGTTCAAGTTTATTTGTATAGCGCTTTTCACGATACAAATCATTGCAAAGCAACTTTAGAGCAAATTAAGTTTCTACAATATTTAGTAGTAGCTTATCAGTGGTGACTGCCAGTTAATGTACATATGGCAGAAATGTACGGAAAAATCAATTAAAGACATAGTCAAAACAGACGACCACTATTAACAGCAATTATTATAAACACTGTCAAACAGGAAAGTCAGTGATTATATATACAACCAGCCTCAAGACTATTATTGTGAATCTCTGCAGTGAACCATGAATGATATTCTGCTGTGCAAGAGGGGAAAAAAAACTTTTTGTTTTGACTAGTTTTGGGGCTTATGATGAAATCTGGTCTCCTAGACTCTGATCTGCCTTGTGACAGGCAGCTTTAGCCTAGCCTTGCTCAGCTGAAGTATGATTCATATCAAATGAATACCGAAATATTTCTGTATGCACTAGGTATTTAACATAATAAAGAAGGAAAAGAAGCGACAGACATATGGATTAGAGCTCATTGCCTCTGAGAACTTCACTAGTCGGGCTGTTTTGGAGGCTCTGGGTTCCTGCATGAACAACAAGTACTCTGAAGGTTATCCTGGTCAGAGGTGACTATTGTTCAGTTACATTTTATGTACTGGTACATTGCAATTTTATGTTGTTGCATTTGCCAATAAGATTAGTATTGTGTAATTTACACTTTGCACTTCGACATTGTGCTTATGCATTAAAAAAATGCTTCTTTTAAATTCAGACTTTGTTTAATGTTATCAGGTATTATGGAGGCACGGAGCATGTCGATGAATTGGAGCGTTTGTGTCAGGAAAGAGCTCTCAAGGTGTACGGCCTCGACCTGGAGAAATGGGGAGTGAATGTGCAGCCGTACTCTGGTAGGTTTGTTTCTGTGTCACTAGACTGTTGCTGTAAGAGATGATGTAACATATGAAACATTAACTCATAAAGCGCACATTGTTTGAAATACTGTTTGATTTTTTCCTCAGGGTCACCAGCGAACTTTGCCGTGTACACAGCCATAGTGGAACCTCATGGGCGCATCATGGGCCTTGATCTTCCTGATGGCGGCCATCTCACCCACGGCTTCATGACTGACAAAAAGAAAATCTCAGCCACTTCCGTTTTCTTTGAGTCTATGCCGTATAAGGTGACCTTGCCATTAGAATCAACATTGTGGTGAACTCTAAACTGAAGTAATGGGAAAATTGACATTTTGTAATTTGGCTAGAAGGTCATAGTGAGGGTTAAACCTTAAAGGAAATTTTCTTCTGTTCTCTACATAATGGCAAATTTTAGGCAAATTTATTACCACTGTCTAATTGAATTTCTATAACCAGACAAGTAACATGGGCAGAATTTGCAGCAAACCGACTGATTTGGTGAAAAAACGCCTTTGTGAAAAAAGGTTCCAGCACTACTTTAATGTTTAACAATACCGACATGTTTCAGCCTAAAAACCATCTTCAGGGTGTATGATGCCTTTACCATTCAACAATCTGAATGGTGCATTCTAATTGACGATTCTAGTTTCGGATTGATAAACCTGCCCGACAACATGTTTAGAGTAAATACTAGGGCACAGAAAACCCTAATGCTGAGACAACACTGGTATATTGAACCTTAATTCATTTGTTTTTGTCCAGGTCAATCCAGAAACTGGATACATCGATTATGACAGACTTGAGGAAAATGCTCGTCTTTTCCACCCGAGACTAATCATTGCAGGTCAGTGCTCAGAGAAAACCGGAGGATTTTTTTAACTGCAATATGTAAAGCTTTTATAATTTAAATAATATCATTAATAATTAAAAAAAAATTGAATCTAACTTGAAAACCCTTTTTTCAACCCTTTGTTCAACTATATGTTGTTTTAATAGTGCATAAATTATTTGGAAAAAAATGAATGCCAACAACTATGGAAACTGATTTTCTTAAAGTAATTACTTTGTAATTCAGTTATACCTGAAAATTTACATCTTAATTTTCATATTTTTTCCTACCAAATATGTGGTTTAAAAAAAAAGAAAGAAAGAAACCGTAACTATTTATTCATATTTATTTAATATAAGTTTAATTTTATTCAAATTAATGCTAATGCTATCACTTTATTTAATAATTCAGTTTTATGACTTTTTATCTTATTAAAAACACTTATTTTTTTGTCCTATTTGCTTTTTTCAGTTTATTTGTAATTTTTTACATTTTCTACCACACTTTGTTCAACTATCTGATGTGCTTTGTAAATCATTTGGGGGGGGCGGGGTTGCAAGAGATTTAGCAAAAATAAGGGAGTTAGTGCTGCTCTGATGGGCTGGTTAGAGAAAAAAAAAAGTAATTCAACATTAAAAGAAATGACAAACATCACCATTAACGTTTCTGTGTACCATTGTTAAGGCACCAGCTGTTATTCCCGTAACCTGGACTACAGTCGCCTGAGGAAGATTGCAGATGAGAATGGAGCGTATCTTCTGGCAGACATGGCTCACATCAGTGGTTTGGTCGCAGCAGGAGTCGTTCCGTCTCCGTTCGAATACTGTGACATTGTTTCCACCACCACCCACAAGACCTTGAGGGGCTGCAGGGCAGGAGTCATTTTCTTCAGGAAGGGTGAGTTCAGTGTGAATTGAGCCGTCATAATAAATCTAGGCCATTGACAGCGCTGTCATTATACACTCTTGAATTGCAGGAGTTCGTAGTGTTGATGCAAAGACAGGCAAGGAGACCCTGTATAACCTGGAGAGTCTGATTAACCAGGCAGTGTTTCCTGGACTGCAGGGCGGCCCTCACAACCATGCCATTGCTGGTAAGAGCTGACGTCCTCCATGTGTTTAGATAAAATGAGATGAGATAAGATAAGTTGAGATGGTTATATGAGGTCAGATAAGGTTAGGTAAGTTTGCATTTAAACTAGGAATGTTTATGATTAATCCACGATCTATTAATTGACATGTAAATTGAATAAGCTTGCTGTTTAATTTAGTTCAGTAACCACCCAACCAGATGTTGAGAACACTGTCTATACAGTCATCCGATGTTAGTGCGCACAAGTATTTCTCTGTATGTAAAGATTACATTCACTGTAAACACTTGACAACAAGCACCATTCGTTTGCTGGCCTTTATCAACCCAATCGACAGTCATGTCACTGCTTGCTGCCAGGAGAGTATGAAGGTACACTAATTTTTATCATGACCAGTCTAGTGGTATGTTATATAAATGTGTATATATATAGATATACAGCGGGTAAAATAAGTATTGAACACGTCACCATTTTTCCCAGTAAATATATTTTTACTGTTTATATTAAAGGTGCTGTTGACATGAAATTTTCACTAGATGTCGGTAACAACCCAAGTAATCCATACATACAAATAAGTTCAGAAATTAAGTTCTGTGTAATAAAGTGGAATGACCCAGGGAAAAAGTATTGAACACATGAAGAAAGGGAGGTGCAAAAAGGCATGGAAAGCGGCAAATGGCACTGCACATCACCCCAAAACATTATGGTGTAGCACTGGCAAAATTC